CACACACACACACACACACACACAATAGCAGCCCCTCTCCCTCTGGTTTTGCATTTGCGCTTGCTGTTGCTCGCGTTCTCAACATTTCTGCCCGTGCGCTCTCAACTCTTTCTCTACGCTGGTTTTGTGGCACAATCTGATTGGCTGTTCTGGTCTCCATTTCGGAATCCATTTCGTCCAAAACTCAAACGAGGCAGTGGCGCAGGAACACAGAGTGGCGGAGTTTGAAATATTACTCTTTCTGGGTCACAAAATAAACTTTTAAGATATCTTCATGCCAGAATGTTTCTGTGTAAACTTCAAATATCTGCTCGATTCATCAAGACATCACATATTTGCAAAAGTGCTCTAACGTTTTCGGAGATGCCTGTTACCCACCAGCTGACCGCACAACTGGACTGGCCATTGGGCATAGCGGGCATTTGCCCGGTGGGCCGATGGTGATTTTTCATTTTTATGTTTGTTTGGGTTTTTTTGTAACGGTATAAACAATGAAAGATGGTGGATTAGCCAATTGGTCATGATCAACTCTGGGCTGGACCAATTACAATACATCCGTATTGAGGGGGAAAGGAACGCAATTCGTCCCGCACTTCAGCTAGAATGAAAAAAAGACACAAAGCTGGAGTTATTCTGTGTTTTTGCTGCTCAGCTGCCTCTTCTTCTCTCATTCTCTCCCCCTCCCTCTCCTGTTGCTACTTCAATCATGAAACTGATCAGTGATCAGCTGATCGACTTTTCTGCCACAAGTCCCGTGTCTCTTGTTTGTTTATCGCCCACTTTGTGCCATGATATGGTCAGGATATGTGGTGAGAGGGAAACATGAAGGTGATACAAATCATACAGTGTACATCACTGTCACAACAGCGTTTGTTTTAGTTCAAAGGCTTTATGGTTTTTCCTGTAATACCTGGTGGTGTAGTCGACCGATTTTTTGTCAGTTCAGCCTTTTATATTATGTTTAACCCGAGTGACCACCCGGTCAGCTGGTGGGTAACAGGCATCTCCGAAAACGTTAGAGCACTTTTGCAAATATGTGATGTCTTGATGAATCGAGCAGATATTTGAAGTTTACACAGAAACATTCTGGCATGAAAATATCTTAAAAGTTTATTTTGTGACCCAGACAGAGTAATATTTCAAACTCCGCCCCTCTGTGTTCCTGCGCCACTGCCTCGTTTGAGTTTTGAATGAAATGGATTCTGGGATATTTCATTTTGTCATTTCGAGCTGATTGGAGACCAAAACAGCCAATCAGATTTTTTTGCATCCAAGTCTTGTGTGTGTGTGTGTGTGTGTGTGTGTGTGTGTGTGGATAATAGCAAACACTGAAATTGTCACGGGTTGCTTAGAGGATCCACTCGCAGGACTCCTGGGTAGCATTCAAACAGAGATTGTTTATTACAGATCTTCACCAAGTGTATGTACAGACAGTACGCGGTTAGTGCTATATACAAGACGTGAGGGGCAGGGGTCCAGGGCTCCAGGGAAAACGGGGAAATCACACACGTGCTCAGAACAGCCTCTCTCCACTCCGCTAGCGACCTGTCACTCCTTCCACACTCCACACGGGGAAACACGGGGACGGGGAATCTAGGAACAAAGGAACACGTTAAGTCTCTGAGACAGAGGCACAGGAAACTTGAGCTGGTGTGTACTGACAAGAGCCTTCACAACAATCCAGCGTTGAACAGCTGATCTCCTCCTTCTAATATACCAGCTGGTCTGATGAGGCCCAGGTGTGCACGATCCGGGAAGGCGTGGACCGAGGGCGTGAACCCGCCATGAGTTCCGCCTCAGCAACAGGGAGAGAAGGGGGGCTAGGAGTGGAGAGATGCTGATCAGCGCCTTGCCGATCCCGCAGGCCGTGACAGAAATACAGTTTTTGCACGCAGCGATGAATTTTGTTCACTCAAATTTAGCTTTTCTTCACCGAAGTAAATTTCTCCTCAAAATGCAACACTTGCACCTGCAATATATTTTTTTTACGTGCGCTCAAAATTTTTTTTAACGTGCTCTCAGAATGGTGGCACAAAAAAAACGCCATAGTTACTGGGGCCCCACCCTGGAGCCAGGCCTGGGGAGGGTGCCTGAGGGTGAGCGTCTAGTGGCCAGGCACAGCCTGAAAAAGGAAATGGGCCCATCCTCCTGTTGGCCCCCAAACAAGGCGCTGTAGGGGTCGGGTGCAAAGTGTGTTGGGCAATTCGAGAAGTTTATTTATATTGCACCAATTTACAGGAACAGTTTCCTCAAGGTTTAAGGCACGAGACTTCTTCTGAAAGTCTCGTGCCTTAAACCCTCTAGTAAACAATCTACAGTGCATCCGGGAAGTATTTACTTTGTCCACATTTTGGGATTTGATAGCCTTATTCCAAAATTAATTCAGTTCATTTTTTACCTCAGGTTTACACACAATAACCCATATTGACAAATGAAAAAAGTTTGCTTGAAATTCTTGCAAATGTATTTAAATAAAAAACTAAAATTTAACATAACTTTTCACAGCCTTTGCCATGACACTCAGAACTGAGCTCAGGTACATCCTGTTTCCTCTGATCATCTCTCAGATGGTATGGTATGTCATGTTACAGAATAAGGCTGTAACATGACAAAATGTGGAACAAGTGAAGTGCCGTGAACACTTTCCCGATGCACTGTAGGTGCTGCAGTTCTGAAGTACAAAGAGAGAGAGAGAAGGGTGTGGCTTGCTCTGAGGTGTTCCTATGGGACAACAAGAACAAAGACTGCAGGGGAAAATAAGTCGTCATTCAAGCAACGAAGTTGTTAAGTACCAGTAAAGTGTGGTGATCAGTGGTCTGATTGAGGAATGTCAGGAACCCAGGCTGAGGTGGTTTATATTTGTACGTTTTATAAAAACAGCAGAATTATGAAATTGAAACATGAATACCAGCACAATCACTAAATATCCAAGAAGTTGAATATATGGGTCCGTAGTGATTCCCAGTGTATTAAAAATCTTTCCACATTATAACTTGATCTACATCATGTCACAAAAGTAGAAAACAAAACGTTGCACATCAAGTGTTGAGATCAGACTGAGGCCTGCATCTCCCAGCCCAGAAATCAGTGAATATGTGTACTTAAAAATGAACATTGGAAATTAATATTTTTTTAAATATATCTGGATAAAAGTGATGTCGATCTCTAACTTTGTCTCTAAAGTCCTTAACGAGCTCAGGTTTTTTGTTTTCCTCACCGTTCTGTGTGGTACCAACATGGAGTTACACTGATACCTTTACACTTCATCCAGTGATCCCGACAGCACATGAATGCACATAAAATGCCTCATTTTTTGCAGAGATCTGTAAATGAATGTCATTGCATGAAAATCTGACTTGTAACAATGTTTGTGTTGATGTGTCAGTGTGTGTCTGCACTCACTGGCTCCTATGTCTAGGCTCATTATGTGTGTGCTGAAGACTGGACATTGAAAGAGACAAAGTTTTAGACACGTGTTTGTGATTTATTTGCCCTCGTTCTAGTTAGTGTTCATATGAGTGTCTGTGTTTATTTTTCCTCATTAAACTCCTGGACTTCAGTGACTTAGCAGCAAGTCAAATGTCTTAAATGTTTTAATCTGCTTAAAGTTATTGCTTACAAAGTGACAGAATTGTCTGTGATTCTGTTTAAAATAAAGCTGAATAGAGCTTGTGTACCTCCTTTTTAAAATTTTCCTTGGTTTTTTTACACATTTAGTCATATATATGTATATATATTTTGGATCTGATAAAGGGAGAAATTTACATTACACTTTAGCTAGTAATGACTTCATGAACTTTTTCACGAATAATTTTTAACCATTAGAGAAGAAAATGCTCATAATCATCTCACAGATGTAACATTATCTACAGCTACTTTCAGTACCGTTGATATTCATTTTTTCTTTTGTCTTTTTCTCCAATTGATCTTTCTGAGTTAACTTCAGTAATTCCTCCAAACCATCAACGTGTCTTTTAGACCCCGTTCCTGCAAGAATGCTCGAAGAAGTCTTGCCATTAATTAATGATTCAATCTTAAATATGATCAACCTGTCTCTAATAATCGGCTATGTACCACAGGCCTGTGCTAATGCTCAAATGTAGAGTCTGACACAACACAAAGATGTGTGTCACATGTGTTGGCAACCTTATAATACACTACTTATAAAGGCACCAGGAGAGTGGCCTACAGCTGAGAGCATTTCCTGTGGAGGGTAGGAAATGTAGGGAAAACCCTAGTGATTGCACAGTGGTTGCCCATCTTTTATATGGACAGTTATGTGCAAAATTATAGCAGTTTAACATTACTAATGTGTTTAAGCACTGATTTTGGCAGAAATGATGAAACAACATGGGAACAAATTCATGACTAGGTGTAGCAGAGTAATAGCCAACCAACAGACTTAACGCACATGGCATGCATGCTGCTAATTGGGGATGTATTCAAATTAATAGCAGTGTGGAGTTAAGTTAGGGAGGTCATTCAATCTGTGAAGAAATGGGTGTCAGTTATGGCCCTTATTTAAGAAAGGAAGGCAGCAGATGCTGTACCTGCTGGTTTTAGCCCTTTGCTCAGTGAGTAAAATGGGTCGTTCCAGTTGCACTGAGGGAAAAAGAACTTTGATCAAAAAGTTGATTGGAAACAGCGAAGTGCCTCATTTCATTTTCAGTTTATACTGTAAATGTTCCAGAAAGAAAAAACAGTTCATGTTTACATTTGGCATTGAATGTGCACAGCTCCTAGTGCCTTTGTACTGTGAGGTTATTATATTATCTTATGCCACGTTATACCCCTAATTAAAGATTGTGAAATTATTATGTAGTTTTAGTTCGCATTATTTTACTAAAGAGGTGATAACTATTAGATTTATTAGACTGATTTGTATTATATTAGACTGCTGGTTTATGGTGAATGAATGATATTGTTTTATGATGCATGATACTGCTGAGTTATAAGAAACACTGTTTTCAGAGAATCATGGCCTTATTTTTCTGATTACAAAGAGAACAGAACATACCGTAGAGGTTTTCTGCCCCATCTCATCAGGAGAAGGCCGTCACTTAGGCGCCATAATAGAGAAAGCATGTGGATGCTTAGTTTGGAGGGGGGCTGAAGCTATAAGAATGTGAGAAACGGTCAGACACGTTGAGATCAGGCGGACACCCTCCCGTGCTCATTTCCCCTCCAGATGGTTAATGCTCAAAAGTGTTTGTATGGAATAATAAGAATTGTATGAATTAAAGTAATTGTTGATTGAGCATTTATACACCGAGTGTTGCTCATCCTTTAGCCCAAAGATCAAAGAATTGGATTATTTAACAGTATATATGGAAATAGGTGCTATTAGTAACATGGAATTTTTCATCTGTTGCTTTAACACACTGCTATTATTTTGCACATAAAATGTATATATTCTGTTATTGGAGTGATCACCTTCAGCGATGTCACTGTGGTATATAACAAGAAAGATTCATCTCATTAGAAGTGACCTTTATTTACATATTTCACAATGTACAATGTAAGTCTGAAAGCAGATGAAAAAGAGGTAAATGTGGGAGGAGAAAAGCAGGATCAAAATGCTTCACCTATTTCAGTATCTATTGCATAGTTTGAGATGATTGAACTGAATACCTTTCTAATATTGTGCTCCCTATTCCCAGCCCAACTGCTTGACACCAGAAACAACCCAGAGTCAATCTAAAACCTGCTCCTGGTTACCTGTGGGAGCCCAACACTCCCAGAATCACACATGGCCTCTAACTTCACACAAGTGTGTGTGCGCACATTGCAGAGGTTAACAGTGTGACAGCTCTCAGAAATCTCATGAAACAGTATTCACGATGTTGTCGTCGTGTATGTTGTGCAAACATAAATCCAATGGCAGTTTGGGCTCTGCTATTCAGCTGTACAATTGTTTCATGTCTGCTGTCAACCCAGAGGGTATCACATTGTTCTGTGTGATCGAAACACATGGTGCGAAATTATAAATATAACTTATCTTAAAAGCATAATTCAGTTCTTTTAAAAGCACCACCAATGGTTGAAATACAATATTGATGAAATGTTGATCTCAAGTCAGATTACGCACACACGGTTTCTAATTTCGCACAAACATACAATGCTTTATTCAAGTGATGAGTTGCTGGTTAACCATGTTTAATGTGTTTAAAAATGTCTTTATGTGCAGATTTTTGACCAATTTCATAAACAGCAAGGACTGGTAACGCCTGTCTAGGGATCAAACCTTGCTACCTTATGCTGGTATGATTATCTAGGAGGGGGACAAAATATCAGCAGCTACGAGTACTTACTGTACTGCAGTAATTTTGTTCTCAGACCTGCCCCCCTTCAGAAGCTAAAGAAAGATCCCACACTACAATTTTTATCAGTCATTACAAATAAAGGATCCACATTGTAAAAGTGAGAGTGTAGCATCACAATAAACACAGTAATTCACTTTAGTTTCATGTCATATTTTTCACCTGGTGGGCCACACATCACTTATCGTCATCGATTGATATTTATTATATCTTTAAGGACAATTTTACATTAAAGCAAGCAAGTCCTGTGGATCTGTGCCTCTCCTCGCTTTATTTGTAATTCCACATGCATGAACTTTCAGATTTTGTAGCAACTATCATAATTTTGAGAAGCTAAATCGCTTAAACACTAGATTCAGTACCTGGTCCAAAATAGGCCACACCTCTTAACGTTTGAATTCAGGTGAAAGAACAGGTTGATCTAAAGAGCTCCCGAATTCAAGCATTGTACTGCAATGGGATGCCAGCGCAACAAGTCAGTTTGTGAAATGTCTTCCCTCTTAAAAATTCCACGAACAACTCTAACTCGTAGAATTCTGACTTTTTTCAGAATTCTGACTTAACACTCAGAATTCTGAATTCTGAGTTTAAACTCAGAATTCTGAATTCTGAGTTTAAACTCAGAATTCTGACTTAACACTCAGAATTCTGAATACTGAGTTTAAACTCAGAATTTCGAGTTTGAGGACAGAATTCTGACTTTTTTCAGAATTCTAGTTCCACTATAACCAGTTATAGTGGCTCCATGTCAAAGTGGTTTACGCATCTGTCTGTCAAGCAAAAGTTTGATGTGTGTCGCTACCTGAAACAACCTAAAGTAGATTACTGCAGTTTTTGCTGTGCTTGTGGGTTTCCTGCTTCTTCAGCAGTGAATGAGCTACAGCCTCAGTACATACTCTGCTGAGAGTACCTACAATACCAAAAAGGGGGGGAAAAAAATCACCTTTTCCAAATTTTCGTTATATTCAGCCATAATTATTCAGAGTATGTGTCAGAATATGTATACAGTGAGTCTGGAATATCATTAGCATACCGAACAGTGAATGGTTTGACAAAAGGCAATAAGGAAAGGTTCTTATCCTTGTAAATGTACAATATGTCTTTGATGTCATCACAAATCATGAATTAGTGCTGTGACACTGTGTGTTACACTGAACATGACTTTGGACAGATAATATTGTAGATCAAATCGTGGAGCCCTGCTCAGTGCTGACACTGATGGGCAAACCATATTATGCTCACAGACAGGTTCATGTGAACTAATGAGCATGTCCCAGTGTTCAAAACACTACTTAGAGCATCACTTGTTTTATGTTCTTTGTGTGCAGATTGTGATCAGCTGCCTTGTGCTGCTGCTGGCTCTGAGGTTTACTGACCATCGTGGTTTTAGCTCGATGCATTCTACAGCATATAATGTTGCATGGTTCCTGTACACTGTGCCCCAATACTGCTAACGTCCCATTTTAGTGTGCACTTACTGTCACATACATCCTTTAAAGGAACATCACTCAGTGTGAAATAACCAGATAAAACACAGTGTTCAGATCCCCTGCCTGATTAAAAAAATATAACACTAGCAGGGCATGCATGCTTCAACATGTAGGACTGATGGACATTCGGCAGCATTTAACTATTTAACACTCAGAGACAGCCTGAGATCTGCCCGCCACTCTCATGCAAACACACTGAGCCAGAATTAAAACCACAGCATCAATAATACATAATTCCATTTATCTTCATCATCAGGTACCAGAGGTTGTGCAAGAATAAATCATTTGAACAAGCATCAAATCAAATTTTACTGCGCATAAATAATCAAGAATTGCTAAATAATAATTTAGGTCCATGTATTTTATAAATCTGCAGCTCTAATTTTAGGGGTTTTAATAAAAATGTGCAAACTAAGGATTGATGCATGTTGCAGCAATGTTATGGAAAAATGAGCATCGTAGCAAAAAGCTTGTTAAATAGAGGAAGGTCACATTTGCAGAGTATATGGACCATTAACATCCTCAAATAAGATGAATGCAAGTGATGGTTTCCTAGATGCGCCTGTGCTCTGCACACACAGTGACTCAGCAGGTCTGACAGAGGATAGAAGAGCATCGCTGCTGCATCTCCGATGCTGCACCATCCGTCACACAGCCATGGAAAATGCTACCATCCACATCCCGCATTCAGCAGTTCTGAACTGGCATATGTTGTTGCAGTGGTTATGTCAGTGTTCTGGTGTGCTGCTGTGTCTTCTGAATAAGTTTTTCTGCTTTCACGGATACACTGTTAAATCTGCCTTTGTGTTGTCTGACAACCTGACAGTCTGTAAGAAATCAGGCTAGACTGAATTTTACGATGATGGAAAAGACATATCACTGCTGTCCCACAGACACACACAGTACCATCTTTTACTCTAAACTGGGATGTAACTGTTTTAATTACCTGACAAAGAAAGGCCAATAAATGTAGTCAAAACAACAGAACCCAGAATGATGTAAAACTGAACGCATACTGACCCCAACCAAGCTTGACTTTTGACTTCGACAAAAGCACAGACGAGCAGTCAAACACAACAAAAAAACACCTTGTGTGTTCTTGTGTCAGTGGGACTGCGGGCTAAGGTATATATGTTAACTTAATGGTGTACTACAGGCCATGTTGGTGAGTAATGCAAAATTAATGTAGCGAGTAGCATGACAAATGATGTGATGCATGACTTTTTTGAATGAGTATACAAACACTGCTCCCAAAACAACAGTAGGTGTTCCTGCTCTTACACATGTGCTGCCTCTCAGGCACACACATTTACCCAAAGAGCTCATCTCAGTGAAACTCAGAGAAGTGACACGCCCTCTCGTTTGTCCTCGCACTAAGAATCGACATCTGACGCTGATGAAAAGAGTGAGAACATAAATTGTGTTGAGGCGAAAATGTCACTGCTTTCAGGAAAAGGAGCCGCTGCCTGCTCGTTATGTCTTTACATGACTGGGAAAAACATCTGTAACATAAAATGGATCGTTATGTAAAGAGCTGTTGCACTAAAATGCTGGCTACAGAAGGCATTTTCTAACTGACCTTTTTATAATTATGGAGCTCGCTGTCAGTATTTTCAGTTTTCCTAATAGAAGAAGAACCTTTAAAAATCAAAATGTTGAATGCACATGGCAGTTTCTTTTTCTGAGCGAGATACTGAATGAAACCTCCGACTTACTCCGTCCATCCTCACTTATCGTCAGTTCAGAAAGCTGGTACATACATGTGGATTCAGAAAAAGGAGGCCTCAGATGAATGTGTTTGTGTGTAGTGTGAGCTAGAAAGGAAATGGTGAATGAGTGACTGGTTACTGTGCTTTTTCAGTCTTTTCCACATGGGAGGAGAGTGTGTGTCTTCCAGTTTTTACATCAAAAAAACGCTGTCCACTGGCACGTGTCCCTGTGTGTCTAAACATCCTGATGATTCAGCCTCAGTGCCACATTCCCTTATTTCGTTTCATCCTCGAGTCCTTGCAGACATCACTTCTTGTCGCTGTTTTTAAATATTTGTTCGTAGGATGGTGGAGGATGGTTGCAGTACGACGGAGGTGGCGGATAGGAACCCATCATCATGTGGGTGGAGCCAGGCTGTGGCGGGTACGGTGGGTGTGTCATGGTAACCCCTGGGTCGCCTCCTGCCAATCCATTCACCCCGAAGCCCTGCATGCTCCCTGGCTGCTGGGAAACTGCAGGAAAAGAGAAAAGAAATGATTCAAATGCTTTTCCTTTAAAATCTCAAGTTTAAAAATAGGCTGTTACGACAGCATTCGATTTCATTCTGGTATTCATATGTTAAATATCCAAAACCTTTTTCACATTTACTATAAACAGTAGAGCTCAGCCATCAAAGAACACAGTGCATCTATCCATGCCCCATAATCATGGTAAGAAAGTGACTTTTTTTTTTTTGAAATTCTTGAAAATTTGTTAAAAATCAAAACTAAAATATAACAGGTACAAGTACATAAACTGGTCTCATGTTTATAGTAAAAATCTTCAGTGTTATTGTTATTCCTAAAACTCTCTGATAATCAGTTAGGATAGACTGCCAGTACCTCTGAATACCACTTTATTACTCACTGAGCAGAAATCCTCTCCATCGATCGTTTCTTCACTACCACAGTTACATCACTGATTCCTTATTTATCTTTCTGCCTTCAACCCAAAGCCTTAAACAAACAGGGTGTCAGAGAAGATTAGAACAAGCAGGCTGAGATGCTGACTTTACTTTGGAGTTCATCAGAGAGAAAAACGAGTAAAAACGTCCTCCTCCGGGTCACCTTTTCAGAGAGTTTGACGCTGTGCTATTATTGGAATGTTCCACTTAAGTTTCTGCTTGGTTGACTGACACAAAGTAAAATTCCATCCATGTAAAATTATGACAAGAGTTTTAACAGCTGCTCTGCTCTCAACCAAAGTCTCATGTCTGAACTACATAATGGACATAATGTTGAGCATAATGAACAGACTTGGAAAAGTTTAGGGGACATAAATGGGACACGCCAGGGTTTGTTTCTGCAGTGGTTGGATTTGATGGACCAAAGTGATTTCATGGAGTGTTCCAGGAGAAATCTCCTTTCGATCACAGCATGATCTCTTAGAGATAGGGTGAGGAGTTCGGCCATACGGGAGGGCTCAGAGTAGAGCCGCTGAACCTCCACATCAAAAGGGGCCAGTTGAGGTGATTTGGGCATCTGACAAGGATGCCTCCAGGGCGCCTCCTAGGTGAGGTGTTTCGGGCATGTGCCACCGGGAGGAGGCCCCGGAGCAGATGCAGCTCACGCTGGAGAGATTAAATCTCTCGGCTGGCCTGGGAACGCCTTGGTGTTCCCCCGAACAAGCTGGAGAAGGTGGCTGGGGAGAGGGAGGTCCGGACTTCTCTGCTTAGGCTGCTGCCCCCTCGACCCGGTCCCGGATAAGCGGAAGAAGATGGACGCGATTGATCTTCTTTCGATGTAAAGGAGACCAAAAAGATGCTTCAAAGAGATGCGTAAGAGGCCAGCTAGCATGCATCCAGCAAGCATCTATCCTTGAACACCATGCCGATGTGGTGAAGGAGTGAGTACAAGTACCTGGACGCTCACTGGAAGACCAGCGCAGACTGCATACAAGATGGAGATCAGCAGACTCTTGGTTAAGGAAGCTGAGGTACTTCAACATGTGCAGTAAAATGTTGGAGATTTTCTATCAGTCTGTTGTGTCTAGCATCACAGCTGGCAGCACCCAGAGACTGAATGAACTAATCAGGAAGGATGATTCACTGTAAACGGTGGTGAGGAGGGCAAAACTGTTAGCTTGGACAATCTTGACCACCCACGGCACGTTTTCTAACAGAGTGATTCTGGACAAGATAAGGACAGATATCAGAAACGTTCCTCCACTGTGCAGCACATCAGTGTTAACATTTTATTTCTACTTTACTTTGTTGATTTTTAAAATATTCCACATACAAATGAATTTCTCTATATCATGTTATTATTATTTTATTAATAATGACATTAATAATAATAACATACTGTGTGATGTCTGCCTGAATAGCTTTTAAAAAGGAAACCATGTTTGTGCCTGTTTTTCTCTTATGCAAACATTCAGTTCTTAGGGTGCCTGTCATATCCACTTCCCTCATATCGGACTATAAAGTATACTTCGGCAGTCCAGATGGCCTTTAGAGCTCAGAGTAATACAGTTACATGTTAGCATAAGTACATGTTAGTCACACCACTGCGTTCATAAACAGAGCCACACGGCTGCCAAACTTTAATAAAAGAAACATATGCAGAATGTTTGAGTTAAGTGTGCTGGTCCTCAAAACGTGGGCCTTGTACTTTGGAGTAGAGATGGCACGATACCACTTTTTTATGTCCGATACCGATATCATAAATTTGGATATCTGCCGATACCGATATGAATCCGATATAGTGTTTTTTAAATCAACAAAACTGTTTTTTAAATATCTTGCTGCATTTTGTATAAGTTCATACTCAAGTTTAAAACAACAACTACACTAAAGCTATTCTGTTATACCTGTACGCAAAAGAGAATATTTCATAGTTCAGCAATACTGATCAATCTAATAAACTTAAACCTACACCATCCTCCCTATTCTGGTATTTTAAAGAGTACTTAGCGTAAATATTAAGCAACCTAACTAATAGGGTTCCAACTCCCAGCAACAACAAAAATAAATAAATAAAAAATAGGGAACCACCCCTCACGCTCCACCTCATGATGCTTAATCGACGTAATCAACCTTAATTTGATGCAGTGTGAAAAAAAATGCACAGAAATCAATTATTTTTCAAGAAATATTAAATAGATTCAACATCTTTCTTCAACAAAATTGCAGACTGCACAGATGGTACCTTCCCAAAGGAAAAAGTACTATAGCTTACTAGGGTATATTAGACTTAATAGTCACTATATACAGTAATTGACTTCTATTCATTTTACATCAAATTAAAACTTTGGGTGTCAGATAATTATTTATTAAAAGCTAGACATTTTAAATGAGAATAAGAAAGAAAAGTATGTCTTTGTGCCCCCTTTTCCCTGTTAATGCCCTATCGGCCCCCCTGGCTAAACTTTGCTAGATCCGCCCCTGCACAGTAGAAAAAGATCCTGGTGTAGAAAGTAATATTAAATAAATTCTAACAACAGCTTATCAAGCTTAAACGTGCTGCTGTTGTTCAGCCGCTGGTTTCCTCTTTCTGGTGCAAAGTGGGCCAAAAACAAACAAGAGAGACGGACTCGCGACAGAAAAGCCGATCAGCTGATCATTAATCAGTTTCATGATTGAAGTAGCAGCAAGAAGAGGCAGTCGCTCCATATATCGCTTGTTAAGCTTAACGCAGGAATGCTTTACAAACATTCAGAGATGGACTTACACACTTGCTTTACTTCTCTCGGGGATAACTTTGTCGGAGATGAAATGCCGGGTTGCTAGCGAAGCTCCACATGCTATCCAGACCACCGACAGGTCCCGCATGCCACAGCCGCTCTATCACGTGATGCATACTGCTCCGACGTGCTAACGTTCTGAGGTGAGTTACGGCGTGTTGCAAGTTTTCTGAGGTGCTTTCGTGATATTTAATGGATCGGATTACATTTTTTATTTTTCTCCGATATCCGATCCAGTAATTTAGGTCAGTATCGGACCGATACCGATACGTAATATTGGATCGGTCCATCTCTACTTTGGAGTAAGTTTGATGCAACCATGTCTTCTTCTGACTTCACTTTCTTACACTGTTCAACTCAACGGTTTTCCATGGTAAACACAAATCTCACACCGTTTTAATTTTTCTTTTTATTCAATATGAAGTTTTACTGCATCTTAGTTTGTCACTCTTGTCTGTGCACCTGTCACAGCCTACTGTACCTGGTGTGGTAACAGGGTGCCTAGTGAAGGAGACATTGAAGGCTGGCTCGTCTCTCAAAGGAGACGGGTACATCCTTCTGCGAATGAAGAAGCCTGCACCACAGCAGAACAACACTCCCATCATCAGCAGCACCCTGAGAAGAAAACAAAACATATCACTGTAAATACAGGAGTTCTGGCTAAAATCAGAATGATGACGTTATGTGGCAAACTATCCAGCTAGCATGTCAACAATGACATGACTTTGCTACCAAAAAATGTTATTAAGCATGAAAGCTACATTTGCTGTTTCTAAAAGACATCTCTGATGTTATGAATATGTTGTCGGTCATCATTCCATTTATTCACTTTCTGCTGCTTATCCGGGTTCGGGTTGGAGGCTGGACTCTGAGTAGACAAACCCAGACTACCCTTCACCCCACCCACCTCTTGCAGCTCATCCTGGGGGGACATCGAGTTGTTTACTGTCGGGATTTAGCTGATTGTGGCGATTAGGACCCACGAGCAGACTCACAGACTCCCACAGGCAGACAAGATTAAACAGGAGACAAGTCCTTTAATAAAGGCTGATGCAAGGATACAAAATAACTCCAAAATACAAAGGAAACAATAACTTCACTAACAGAAATCTATAATGAAAAAAAAACCCAATAGAGACACTAGCAAATAGATATTTGGAAGCTAGGAGACAGAATACTTGAATAACCACTGAAGGTCCAAAATTATAGAGGCACTAGGAAAAAAGAAAAATTCTAATAAAAAGTCCGTGACAGCTTCCTAGATCTGCCTTGAGGTCTACTCTCTTAACAACACCCCAGACATCCCATACTCCCTCAGCACCACCCCACAGGATAGTCCAGATAACACAGGCAGACTGGTTAGGAAAACACCCTCAAATATCCTTGAGCTGGTCCAGTCCTCCTGACTCCTACGTTCCTGACTCTCCTCTCCTGTATCCTGGCACAGACCAGGGAGGCTGAGAAGTGCGACTCCCCCTATAGATAGAGCACACCTTCCATCCCCCCTTCTAATAAGGGGGGGCACCACCCCAGTCTGCCAAACCAGAGGTGCTGAGACTTGTCAGCCAAAATAAAGCCACAACACCCAAAGCCTCAAGGGACTAAGGGAGAACCACCCCCCGGGGAGTCTGCCACCAAGCAGTTTTTAACTACATTAGTGACCTCACCCCCAGTGACAGGCAAGTCATCCCCCTTATCCCCAGTCTCTGCTTCCATTACAGAAGGTATGGAAGTGGGATTAAGGAGATCCTCAAAGTGGACTCTCCACACCTGACAGAGTAATACGGAAAGTGCGGCTGATCCTTTTTCTGTTTGCTTTGTTGTTGCTGCGCCTCCCAACTCTGTTACTTATGTTCGTTCTTTATAAGTAATCACACTTTCATGAATAAAAGTTTGTTGAACCAGAACAGCATTTTGGCATCTTGTGTGTTAGGTCCTTTCGAGCCATGAATTTAGGAACTGTAACTATTATCACTGTGGACATTAAGGGGGTCATAATGTAAACAATTATCATGTTGTATTTAATAAGAAAACACCATAAATTTGTCAGTAAAACTGAGGAAACTGATCCTATGAACTAAGAGCTGTTTTATAATAGCCAGATTTTTTTAGCCACTGGAAAAACATCTAGTTAAGTCTCTTAGCATCCACCAATCACTTAGGGATAGAGTTAATAGATGGAAGTCTAAACAGCTCGCCAGCAATCAAGCGGATGTTAAGAAGTCAAATTTCAGAATGGGAAGCTTTTTTTAACTTTTATTTAAAAAATGATTTCTTTCTCTTAAAAAGTTTGTAGCGAGACCTTTGATCTTTTCTCATTTTCAAAAACCTTGGAGCTAAACATATCTTTGCAAAGCAGTTGCTGCAACATTATGCTAACAGAATAGCCACTGAAATGGTTGCTGAATGAGACCAGCATGCAGTATATTTGTACACATAAGTGGTGTTTATATGTGCAAAAGTTAAAAACAGACTTTTTTTTTACCAGTGTAGAAGAAATTACTCTAACAGTGATGAGTACCTGCTGAATTTTGCTTGATAATTAAATAACTACACAGTCTACTGTAGTCTCTAAATGACACAAGCCCATTGTGAAGTTCTACCCACTGTGCTCAATAAAAGCAGAGGACACAATATGATGCTAAAAACAAATTACAGCCTCTTGTTTTGCCTGTAATTCAGTCAGCCCTATGTCGAATGTGTGCGCCAGAAGTCACCACTGAAAGAAAGCTCAGTCCACATATGCTGCACACCACGGGGTAAAGCTCTTTAATATAGCTACACCTGCAAAACAAAATGGTAAAAATGTGCACAAGTTTATGATTGTGTTATTTGTTTGTTTGGTCTTTGCTCGTTTTCACAGCTGTGCACACATAGTAAACCCAACACACAGTAACTCACCAGAAGTACCATAGTCTTTGGATGGACAGGGCTCTCACACAGCAGCGAGTCCCACAGCAGTCCTCGTAGGAACGGCATCTGCAGCAAGTCACACGGCAATGAGTCAGCAACAGCATGGAGCAGTTAGCCTCTGTTATTGTTTTACTGTTTAGCTACTTGGGAGTGGTGAAGTTTCTGTTGAGGTGCAGGCGTCACAGAGAGAAAATACTGGGAGATGATAGAAGATTACAATACACAGTGTTTGAGCCATTTTCTTTCAGACCACAAACAAACCTTTAACCAGTGTGCCTGGCACTAGGCCAAGACTACTGAACAACAGTGAGAGTACAACTATTATTGTTAACTATTATTGTTAACGTTTTAAGAACATTATCCCATTCCTTCTTTTCTGCACCTGCAAGCTGCTTTGCAACCCACCTCTATCTTTCTTGCTGTATCTGACCTCAGATATATATCTGCTGTCATCTGTTCCAGGATTTTACTGCAGCTCTCCCAGACTCTGGCTTTCCATGGAAGGGTGAGAAGAAGAACTCTACATTTCATTTATGGCCTCGGTAGAGTGTAGAACCATGCCACCAAATATAAATTACTACAGATGGAAATATCATTTAGTATCTCGGGGTCTTGTTCGCGAGTGATGGGAGAAAGGAGCCGGAGATCGACAGACGGATTGGGGCTGCGGCTGCAGTAATGCGGACGCTGCACCGGTCAGTCGTGGTGAAGAGGGAGCTGAGTGTAAAAGCGAAGCTCTCAATTTACCGGTCGATCTACGTCCCTACCCTCACCTATGGCCATGAGCTGTGGGTAGTGACCGAAAGAACGAGATCGCGGATACAAGCGGCAGAAATGAGCTTCCTCCGAAGGCTGGCTGGCCTCTCCCTTAGAGATAGGGTGAGAAGTTCGGCCATCCGGGAGGGGCTCAGAGTAGAGCAGCTGCTGCTCCACATCGAAAGGAGCCAGCTGAGGTGGTTCGGGCATCTGGCAAGGATGCCCCCTGGGCGCCTCCTGGGCGAGGTGTTCCAGGCATGTCCCACCGGGAGGAGGCCCTGGGGCAGACCCAGGACACGCTGGAGAGATTATATCTCTCGGCTGGCCTGGGAACGCCTTGGTATTCCCCCAGACAAGCTGGAGGAGGTGGCTGGGGAGAGGGAGGTCTGGACCTCTTTGCTTAGGCTGCTACCCCCGCGACCCGGCCCCGGATAAGCGGATGAAGATGGATGGATGGATGGAAATATCATTCTTAACTTATTATTAACTTCCAGTCAATTTTTTTTATATAGCAACAGATTACTACAACAGTTGCCTCAACCGTTAGGTAAAGACCTTACAATAATACAGAGAATGCCCCAACAATCCAAGGACCTCCTATGAGCAAGAACTTGGTGACAGTGGGAAGGAAAATCTTCCTTTTAACAGGAAGAAGAGATCGCTCCGATACAGCACGTTTCAGTATTTTATTTTTATTTCAGTATTTTGGCGTCATGAACAACAACTCGAGTTATAAGATAAATACGATTTAGCCATCTCACATTCTTTCTTCTCAACAGGTGAGTGAGTCCATAGTTTTCAGTCTGACACTGGTGGAGCCCATCAGCAAAAAAGAAAAGTCTCCTCTTACGGACAGATTTCACCTCTTTGAAATCAATTATTTATTCAGACTTAGAAGCCAAGCAGTTGCTTTCAAGGGTAAAAGCTCTGCAAGTACAGAAGGAAGTTGATGATGGATGGAATATCTTCCTTTTTATTGTAATGGTTTTGTGTTGAACTTGTGTGTTTTTGAGCTTATTGTCTCCAGTAATTAGGACATCAGAGAAACTCCATATAACTCCAGAGAAAAAACATCTCTGCCAGATATTTTAGTTGTTCAACTGCAAGACAGTTAAACACTGTTTTTACCTCAGTGTACTACAGAGCTGAGGAAAAACTGTCCTGCCACACACAGTAAATTACATTAGTCTGTATGTACAGTAACATACTTTTTTTTTATTGCAGTACAGAGAGTCTCGCTACAGTTCCCTGACATTTCCACCATAATTTGCAATACACCCAGGTGTATTTTTGCATTAATCACACTTTCTGCTTGGTAAACAAAATTTAAAGACGTTTCCCTTTAACTGACAACCCAGCAGCCTGGGAACAGTCAGGACAGAGGCCAACTGTGGTTGACCAGTCTGAGAAGTGCAGCAGGAAACTGGAATTAATGCAGCTGGAAAAAAAAGTTGTCTGCAGTGCGTGTGTGTGCATGTGTGTGTGCGATAGATGACTATGGACAAATCAGCATGACCTCTCATGCTGGGATCTCCCATTCCTAGCCCTTCTAGCATTTCAGCGCTAGAGCTGGGAGGCTAATCAATGTCCGCAGATGCTGCAAAGCATGCAGCGAGCAGTGTTTGCATCACACCAGATAAAGTTGATGCCAGTTTCTGTCACACTCCTTGTGTGTAGGTAGCATAATATTTATACTCTCTATGCATTGGCACAAAACATTTTACCTAAAAAAGGGTTTTTGCATCACTACTTACAAAAATACTGATTCCATCACATCAAAATATTCTAATTATTATTATTATTGTTGACACTTCAGTTATCATTCTGTTAAGGTTTGAGGGATATTACAGTTTCCACAAAGATTTAAGAGGTGCGAACAGGAAACATAACATCAGGATCAAATCTGTAGGCCAGAGCCGGTCTGAGAGAGGCAGTTCATTTACAATTAATCCCACTGTATAGAAATTAGTGGCTGTTAAACGATGACAGTACATCATTAAACATAATAAGATAGCATTCGATGAACAGAAATTAATGGAGTGAACAGCCCGGGTAATAAATGATTGCAAAGCTGCAGCGAGGTGCTCGGGCTGCATGCACAGCCACTGCAGCCGTTACTGCTTCTCTGCTGAATAGTCAAATCGCTTGGATTTCCACAGTTTTTAGAACATCAGCAAGAACTAGTCACCACATGCCACGCCTCTGCCTCATGCTTCTCCATGCATGCATTGACTTGTGATGTAAAAGTGGAGTTTTAGTTTTGAAGTCCTAATTGTCAAATATTCTCCCAAAGTCATTTTCATTTTTATTATATAAAAACAGTAATGCATGAGAAACTCATTTTAGGGTAACACATTTAATCTACTAACATGTTTTAATCTCATTCTTTTACAAACATCTCAGACCTACAAAACGTTTACACATGAAAAGGATGGTTAGTGACCACAGTGGACATCCAAGGGTTGAGCTCATTGGTTTAAAAACTTACATGAAGTAGATGGGGTATCCACCTTCGAAATACCAGCAGTACTTTTTCGCTTCTACACACTGTAAAAGAGAAAAAGGTGATGATTAAAAACTTGCAACTCTTTCCAACTCACAAAATGAAGCTCAGTTAGCAGCAGCAGCTCTTGCTGGGTTCTCAATTTTTCAAATGGTCTTAAACCTTTGATCGGGAGTGTATTATGTGTGGTGTCGAGCAGGGGGGTAATTAATGTTGCCTGAGCAGTACAAAGAAGTTTGTAGCTGGGACATTCCAGCCAATAGCTGACAAATGAGGGCTTAGTAACATAAAAAATCAAAAGGTAATAAAATGATTTATAATAAACTCCATTTACTGCAAAGTAAAATGGGTTCTAGTATATACAGATTCACTGACTGGTGCTTTACTCGTGGAATATTCCACTCTCATGCTAGGGTAAAACTTCTTACCCCTAGAAAAGATCCAGTGTGTTCATGGACTCATTTCCTGCTCTTCCCATGAGAATAAAACCATTTTAAATTGTATTGGAAAGAGAGAGCCTCGGAGGGTTTTAAAAATATCTTTAGCCTTTGCATATCCCTTCCAAAGAAAACCTCAAATAGAGTCCAGGAAACTGCTTCTCAAAAACAGCTTAAGAAAGTCACTCTGTGTATACACATTGTGGATGAAAGATGCAGAGACATTTTCACTGTGACTAAAAACCTGAAACACGGACGCCAGCTTGGCTCACTGGGAGGAGCGGGTGGCAACGTGCCGTATGGCTGAGATCGGTCGGACCTGTTAAAAGGGATTTTTTCCTTCCCACTGTCGCCAAAATGCTTGCTCATAGGATGATTGTTGTTTTTTCTGTATTCTCTGTATCATTGTATGGTTCTTACCTTACAATATAAAGCGCCTTGATGCAATTGTTGTTGTGATTTGGTGTCATATAAATAAAACTGTCTCTTATCTCACATTCATCTAGACAACATAAGCAATGTCAGTCACCTCTGGCATGAGGGATATGAGTGTGAAATAACAGAACTATTCCACTGTTATATCCTGTACAATGGAAGAAACAGGAGAAAACTACAGTACAATTTATGACATTATCAATCTGAAAGTGTATTTAAAAGGAAATGCGCAATTTCACAATTTTTAACTTTGTTACCATCTATTCACTTGTATTTGGACCTAATTCTCATCCTGTCTTCAACCCTCTGCCAGCCATGAATACAATCCAGCTCTGTTCATTGTCTTTCTCTAATTAGAGCTGGTTGGAAAAGCTGACAGTGGAGAAAATAGTCCCTCTGTGCTCCCACAGGACAAAAATGACCATTACGCAACCAGAGGATGTGTTTTCTTGCTTTAAAAGCAGCTCAGATGGCTTTTGGATTGAGGACGCCGGGAAGGATGAATAGTTCAAATGGTTGTATGCTGCACTGAAAGCTTTTAGAAGCAGCGAAAGTGTTCGGGATGATCAGGAAGGGAAGAGCTCTGCAACAGTCGGACATCCGAGAACACCACTTTGCTCCAACACAGAGCCATCAATCTCATTTGAATTTTGCTCACTCGGACTGTGTTGCAAAAATTTCCTGATTAGACATAAAGCAAGAAAAACTTTCTTCCAGTACTGATATGAAAATAGCCACAGAGAGCTTATGAATGTTGTTGCAATAGTCATACTTGTCTTCAGTTTTTCAACTATTTAATTAAATCTAATATTTTGTTCCATCTCTTCTAATCCTCTATGTCCTCGGTCATGGTCCAGACCCAGGCTTCTTTGTGGAACCAGACCTTTTACTAGGTTTTGATAAACCTAAATTTCTATATTACTCTGCACAACTTTTCCTGTATATACACAGGATACTAAGTCAAGCTTGTCAGCCATCCAAAGCATTTATTCAGAGCACATGGGAAAGCAGAAAACTCCACAAGGACACGAGATACTGAAGTCCGATGAAGTCAGGGAACCAGGAAGATTAAAGCTGAGATGGTTTCCATGAGAAATGTAGAAAAAGAACATTTCAAACTTCACCTTTTCCAGCGCCACTTCACATTGGGGTCCACATATCATTCACCGCATGACACACTTGAGGACTTTTACTGTTTTAGTCTGTACTAAGCTCTTTGCACCCATCTCCATCATATACCCAAAACTATAAGGAGCCATCATTTCTACACTCACTAACCACTTTATTAGGTACACCAGTTGAACTGTTCCCTAATCCAATGCACCCAACCAACATGAAACTCAACATGTCAACAAATTTGGAGCAACTGAGTGATGCTATCATGTCATATAAAGTAAAATCTCTGAGGAATCTTTTTAAATCTATGCTATGAAGCCAATTCTAAAGACAAAAAGGGGGCTCCAACTAACTACTATTAAAGTGTGCCTAAAAGTGCCAGGTTAGCAAACCTGGGGTTGAAGTACTTATCTTTGTTAGTTTATTGTGAACAACTAGCAACAATCAGAACGTTAAGTCTAGGATCTGGTTGCAGTCCTATTACATCAATCAACAGTATTGACCCCACGGGTGTTTCCTTAACTGTGCCAGTTCAAAGTTGATATTTGCAGAACCTGGTACCACCCATTTGGTTGTTCCCAAATCCCAAATTCCAACAACTGCTCATACCTAACACCTGTTTAACTTCTTCTTTATGTTTATGTCAATAAAGGCCGTGAAGCCCATTCAAATCTGAACATCATACAACAATAGAGGTCACAATTAGTTTCTAAGCATTTCCTGAATATAGAAGAAAGGTGAAATTACCATGTGTCACAAAACTGAGTGGCAGTGCCTTCATATTGTTATTATAGCCACAGATACATCCTTTTCTGTGTGCAATTAAAATGTGCAATTCACTTGTACTTGTATTTTTATTTTTATTCCTATTTATTCTATTTATCCCCTTCGTATA